TATATATATATATATATATATATATATATATATATATATATCTATTTTGAACAGGATGTAGGTTCGATGTTAGAAACATCAGACCAACTTCTGTTCTAAAAAAAAATGAAAAGAAAGTGGTCCTATGTTTCTAACATTGGACTGTGTTCTGTTAAAAAAAACTTTAACTTTTTTTAACAGAATACAGTCCAATGTTTGAACATCAAACATCGTTCTATTAAAAAAAACTTCAAAATTTCTTTGAACAAAATGTGTTCCGATGTTAGAAACATCAGACCGACTTCTGCACTAAAAAAATGAAAAGAAAGCAATAAGATGTTTGTTACATCGGACTGCGTAAGTAAAAAAAAAAAATCAAACTTTTTTGAAGAGAACACGGTCCATTATTTGTAACATCGAGTCGACTTCTATTCTTAAAAAAATGAGTAGAATGCGGTTTGATTTTTGTAACATCGGACCGGCTTCTATTCAAATAAAACTTCAATTATTTTTTTTATAGAATGTTGTTTGATATTTTTAACATCTGACCCGCTTCTGTTATAAAAAGAAATGAACAAAATGTAGTCAGATGTTTGTAACATTGGATCGGCTTCTGTTCTAAAAAACATGAACAAAATGCGGTCCACATTTTGTTAAAACAAAAAAAAAAAAAAAAAATTTGTAGTTGTGAAATCACATATTACTGGCCATTGATTTATTGCTCCTTCTACATTGGTGAAATGCCATCATATTTTTTATACCCATCCAAAAATCGTATATTGAATATTTATTCTGTAGAAATGCAAAACGATAGCAGCATGCTATTATTATGCATTGCATTATAAGAACATGCAAACAAATATTCCATTAATTTTAAACTTTAGATGATTTTCATCATCGCTTGAACATAATAGAATATTTCAAATTTACAACATTTTTTGTACAGGCCCAAACAAAAGCAGACAACATAAAGAGTCCTATGATAGTCCATGCCTCGTCTTGCACTGTTTCTGATACCCAGCCAAAAATCGTATATTGAATATTTATTATGTAGAAATGCAAAATGATAGTAGCATGCTAGTTTTATATATTGCAATATAAGAACATGCAAACAAATACTCCATTAATTTTAAACTTTAGATGATTTTCATCATCACTTTAACATAATAGAATATTTCAAATTTACAGCATTTTTTGTACAGGCCCAAACAAAAACAGAAAATATAAAGAGTCCTATGATCGTCCACGCCTCGTCTTGTACTGTTTAGCCCCTTGTCCTGTTCTCTAATTGTAATGCCTTAACAAGGTCGTGATCGCAGGTTGAATCGTCGCTCAGGTAAGGGGGACCACCTCTACTACCTCTATAAGCCCAAGCAAGGGGACCTCGTCCTCCAGCTCCTCTGCCTATTCGTCTGCCTCCTTCTCCCTATTCGCCTCCTTGGCCCCTGCTTCCTCGTCTGCCTCCGCATCCTCGTCTGACTTCTAGTTTGCCTTCTCCTCGTCCGCCTCTTCATCCTTCTCAACAACTTGCACCTTCGGGTTAGACAGCTCTCGACATGCAACTATTACATGCTCTCGAGCGATGGGCCCCATATTAGTAGAATCCAATGTAGAACTAAGGTGTTGCAATGTGCAGTGCACCTTGCTAATCTGCAAAGAAGGCAAATATTGTAAAATGCTTGTCACATGACAAAAAATTTTAACTGTGAAATAATTAAAAATAAATAAACAACTTATACTTACCATGTTCAAGTTGTCAGCATATCCTCTTGGGGTATATATTACACCCCTTGGAATTGTAGGGTTCCAAATAGTCGGCCTAAACACCCTCGAGTACATTACCTATACTCTGTGGAGGGCACCCCATCCTCAATATCAGCATCAATATTATTACCCCCAGCCCAGCATTCATAACGATCCTCCCATAGTTGGATTTTAAGGGCTAACTCCTGTGCCCATGAATCCACTAACGCACCATGCTTCTCTCCTTGTCCCCATTTCTTTGGATTTGGAGGAATTCCCTGCTTCAAACCAAACTGTCGTAGAACTCGCTCTGGTAGATAGCACTCCGCAATGTTATAAAAAATAAGGTAAGAATTGCACATTGCGGAGGTGAAAGTACCCACTCATCCTGAACCATTTGGCCATTATTTGGTTCCATGTTATATGGTTGCCATAGAACCTACAATTTGAGAAAAATAATATGAAACCCACAAATAATCACACAAATAGTTAAAGTTTTACATTAGGTTATTCAATGTAATTAAAATTTGTAATGAAATAATTGTGATTGTGCTAACCTTTGACGAATCAAGGACATCGATCTCCTGACGGTAGTAGACTTTAATGTTTGAAGGGTTTTTCTTTGGAGCGGGAGGTCTTCATTGCTTCGCTTGTGCCTCGCCAACTCTAACCTTTTGTACCTCATCACTAGGTCGCAAAGTGGGAAAATATTCAAATGTCCAACTCTGCAAAATGAAATAATGACAAAAATATATTAAAGTTTATCGACCTATCAGGTTTTGGAAATTGAAATCACATAAAAACATTATCATACAAACTCACAACTAACCATAAACAATTACCTGAAAAAGCGTTGCCGACCCACTGAAGTGGGCTTTTTTTTTATAACGAACTTATAAAAACAGCATAATAAATAGGTTAGAGTCACAGTACCCCATGCATATCACCCTGCTATGTCAAAATCCTCGAAAAGCTTTAGATACCTTGTGGGCACCTCATTGCCCTTCGCGTTAAAAAAAATTGTGCTCCCAACAAAATACAACAAATAAGTGAGCATGTGCCACTCAACCACCTCATCAGTAGCATTTAGTAGCAATATCATAAATCTCTCCTTCAATCAACAGAATTTGATAGTCACTAACTTATCAAAGGAACCTCCTAGAGAAGCTCCAAACCATCTATGCAAATATGAGTGATAGGGAAGGTAATCTTCTATAATGATGAGGTCCCCAATCACATTAAGCCGAAATATCATCCAAATATCGTGGAGCGTAAGCCTCTTCTCACCGACATGATCATTAAAGTATATTGAATTGGTATCGGGCCACCATCTTTCAGCCATTGTAATAATTAGGCTGTGGTCGACCCTCTATGGCCGTAGATTTACAAGGGACAATATCCTTGCTCTAGCAACAAGGGCCCTTTGTGCCGGTGTCAACAACCTAGACCAAGTCTGGACGTTACTCCATCTCTCGTCAACAAATTTTTTTTTTTCTCTCTGGTTAAAATTTAAAAAAGTCCTTGAATTGTCATTTATCAAGATAGTGTTGATCAAGTAGGTAGGCATTCTCAAGTTATTATAAATATATTTACCTCTCTTTTCCAAACATCGTTGGAGACGTGCTGCCTTTGCAAGTATAGGAGCCGAGGCTGAGCTCCTTGGTCTACTACTTGGTGCGGCATAATATATATTCCTATATCAAACTTTCTTTTTAGTAAGCATATTTCGTGAAGGAACTTAAATTGAACAACTGAACAAGTATTCAAATAATCATCTGGGAATTTAAATAAATAAACATATGTCAAAATTCAGCTTAGCTTGGAATTCATAACTAACAATTTATTCAATTTGAATCATAAATCCATCCAAATTGCAACTGAAAACAATTTCATTCATCAACATATTTCTATCAAAAAAAGCTTTCTCTAAATAGAATTTACTTTCATAAATTCATCAAAGAATCACAGAGAAGAGTACATAACAGTGCTTCTGATGAATGAATTGCTTTACAATCATATTTGGAGAATCAGTTTTATGGGATAACAATGCTTCTGATGAATGAATTGCTTTACAATCATATTTGGAGAATCAGTTTTATGGGATTCTCTTTATATAGAGAGACATATATTAGGATGCTATGTCTATGAAAGAAAATGGGATGCTATATGTAAAATTGGTTTACAATAACTATGTGTTAAATTCCAAAAGAAAAATTTTCAAATATTAAGACAGATCTCAAGATGTTAGATTTCACATTTGATGGTTAAGGGTTATTGTAGCCTTCTTGCATCTTGCACCAAAAGTAAGTGGCCTTATAATATACAATCCCAAATAATTCAATGTAAGGTTTTGGTTCATCATAATTTAAAGAAAGGTATTTAAAGGAAATTTTCCAGACTGATAATTGGCTTGCGTGGTTGAGATTATTTTTAATAAAGCATCTAAAATTCATGATGAATCGCCCAAGTTCTCTTCATAATGCTCTTAGCGACAATTATCTTCAGTAATTACCCCAAAAAAAATCTTCAGATCATGATAAATTTAATGTCGATGATAGCTTTGATGATATCTTTAAATGCATGTATCACAATATCACCTATTATAATGATAAGAACCTTTCCCAATAATAATATATGCAATCTAAAAGCTAATTCACAACTTGAATTTGAAAAGAAACCTAAAAAATCTTAACAAAAAAAATGAGCAGCAATTTGTTAGGAGCTGACAATTAATATGCAAGCTGAAGCTATTATGTTGGATAGCAATTATATGATTGATTTCCAAATTAAAAGAGATGACAATATCCTGATAAAACTCCACACCAATAATGATAATTGTCACTAAGATAATGCTTTCTGAATAAGCTGACAAAAATTTCATTTAGTTTTCAGTTTTACAAGATACAATAACATACTAGAATCTTAAAGAAAACCCTAAACCTTCAATCCTTAAACCCTAAACATTCAATCCTTAAACCTTCAATCAACAACGAATGCCGGCGAGAGTCTTAGGTTGAAAAGGAGGGAGAGGCTTGAGAGCAAGGTGGATTCACAGAGGGAAAGAGAGGGAGAGAGAGTTTTAGAAAGAGAATGAAATTTAAGCGAGAAAGATGGGAAGATTAAGGGGTTTTTAACCTCAATATCGGTCTGATATTTCAAACATCGTACTGAGACTAAAACAATACAAAAAGTTGAAGACGATTTAATGGGATCATGGGGGTTTTAACGGGAAGGGGTTAAGGGGTAAAGTTGTTAAAAAAAATTGAGGATTCCATTCTTCTTAGTAATATCAGCTCAGGCCAAACCATTATAACGGACGTTTTTCTGGTCCCTATGTAAATTTTCCTAAAAAAATTTGTCATCCATCTTAAAGCACGGTAATAAGTGAACTAACCAAAACCGTGTCAAGAAAGAAAATTGGGAAAGATGAAAATGTCATGTTTTGGTTGATGCAGTTAGTTAAGCAAGCCTTGTCCTACCTTTGATTTAAATATTCTACCAAATTTCTCTTGCCAAAAGTTGGGCACAAAGTACGGGACCTTCTCCCCTATTCCTTAATTCCATATAAACTCTAAACAAATAACTTATAAATAAATAACTATAAAATGACCAAACAATCTCCGAGAATTTCGGCTTCGAGTCCGGATCAAAATTTCGTCGCGTTTCCCACTCCCTTCGATTTCTATTGACATTACATTTCGGCACAACTCCGGAAGGAACCCGAAATTTCGGTCCCCGAAACCGTGCGCCGGACAGAAAGGTGATGATCGTATCCGATTTAACTATTCGTGGGATCATGACTCTGCCCTTAGTGGATGCGCAATAAATAAATACAAAGCACCTATGGGGTGCTCCCGTGGGAGCACAGAATTTTTTGCCATGAATAAAAGGCGCACCTTTCAAGTCTTCAGGCATTCTGTAATTCCAGGAAGTTGCGGCAAAAATGGGGGACTCCATTCAAAATTTCGTTCGCTTCCTAGTTTTAATTTGGGGGACAAGAGCTTTTTCTCTCTCTCTAAAAACCGAATCTTTAGAGAGAGTTTTCAGTCAGGAAGGGGGTATTTGTGGTACATTTATTTGAGGTCAAGGCTTTCAGCACCATGAGTTTGTAGTAATGAACGATTCTTCTTTTCCTTACTCCCTTTTTTTGACTTGGAAATGGCATTTGTATTTTTGGAGAGAGAGATGTGTTATTTAGTGATGGTGGCTGAAATTGCAGGTTAACAAAGGATGGTTATCTTCTGTCAATGCATAGAGTGAGGAGAGAGCGTTCAAATGCGCCCAACAAGTTGCCTGTGCTTCTTTACCACGGGATTTTGCAGGTTATTTCTCCCTCTCTCTAAATTGTGAATCCATTGTATCCGACTCGACTAATTTCCTCGGCCGCCTATGGGCAAGGCTAGTTTTGTCTTATGCAGATTTATTTGATTATATGGAATAATGTATCATTTTCAATTTAAACATATCCGAGGGCTATGTCAGGTAGTATGCATCTCATCAATGTCTTTTATGTAGTATGCGTCTAATCAATGTCTTTTTTGTAGTAACTTTTTTTGTTTAGAGGTATTTTAAGTAATTAAATATGGATAAAATTGAAATTCTCAATAGAAAGATAAAAACATTTTATTTACTGGAATACTCGTATATATGAGTACCTTAACATAGTCCTATAAAAGAAGTGCTGGGATCAAACCCAAGACCCCTCGTGAAGAGGCATTTTAAGATTGGAGATGCAACTCCTACATGCCATTCTAGAAACAAAGTAAAGGCTACACTCTATCAATTAATTTTTTACTTTACTTTTTTTTAAAATAAAAAAGCTAGGGCTGGACTTTGGAGAGTTACTAAGACTTGCCCCAATAACTTAGCTCGACCAGGTCTGCGTGCCTTGAATCAATGCCTTGAATCAATTTTCAAAATACTGTGAAACCATAAAGTTTGCCTTGGTTAGTTGATCTGCTAAAGGGATTTGTTAGGGGAGGAAATACGAATTTGTTAACACGACGAAAGTGTCTTCTGCACACAAAAACAAGAAATTTATGTATATAACCCGTTATGTCATAAGATATACTAAAAAAATGTTGTAACGTATTATTTATTAAAGGGATTATATACAATGAGATTCTTTACTTTAGAGAAAATTACATGTATATCCGTTATACTTTACATTATTACGGTTACATGTAATAGTTTCCGTTATTACTCATCTGTCCGTTTTTTATCCTTCATAACGTTTTTTTAAAAAACAAACATTTTTACCTTTTTTCGGATGTTCAACATCCGAATTTATGAAAATTTCGGATGTTCAAATGCAAAAACAACCAGCTAGAATTGTCACTTACAAATTTCGGATGTTGAACATCCAAAATTTTGCGTGCCAAGACTTCTCGCACACGGGCGGAAACTTATATATGTTTATTTTTATAATGTTGTGAAAAATCAATCATTAAAAGAACATACCCCTTTTTACTGTCCGTAATGCAGTAACCCACAAAGTTGAAGAGATTGACTCACTATTTGGACGTGATTGATACCGTTTTTACTCTTTCTTTATACGGTTGATTAATTAAAGTTTATTTATGTATTATTATTTAGAATATTTAATTTTGTTAATAGCATTTGTTGTGTATTTGAGATTGACATATGGAATTTGTTTAATATTTATGAAGTTGTTTTTTTATATAATTATTTGTTGTTTGTATCATGTTGATACATTGTATTCTTTGTTTTGGCGAAATAATTGTTGAACTTGTTTGTTTGTAATAAAATTTGTTGTTTATTTTGTGTTTATGTGAGTATTACTCACACACTATTTCAATCTATTATGTAATACTCAGATTTTATGAACCCTAAAGTACTTAAAAATATCTCAATTTTTGGTAATTTTTTTATAACACTAATTTTGCTATTCATTTAATGCATGAGTATTGACGATCGCTACTGACAATTTTAGTAGTACACTATTTCAATGTATTATGGAATACTCAGATTTTATGAACCCTAAAGTAGAAATATACCAATTTTTGGTAATTTTTTTGTATTGATTTTTTATAACCGTAACTTTGCTATTCATTTAATACAATAGTATTGACGATGGCCACTGAGGGAGTGCAACTGGTATTCTGATATGGAAGGTCATTTAAAACGAATGCCGGACGTGTTATTTATAAAGGAGGAAAATTGAAGGTCGCCAAGTATATTGAGAATAATTCCTTGAAGGAACTAAAAAGTCATTTTGCAAATGTAACCAAGTGTGATCCAAACAAATTAGCTATTATGTACCACAACACAAGTCTATCTAGTGGGCTTGATTTGATTGATATTAGTAATGATATAGATGTATCTTTTATGTTGGGAGGGGAATCTTCAAGATTGTACTATATATTGTCGAGGCACAACAAGAATTTGTTGTTGAGGGCCCATCTTCAAGGACTATGTATATCTACAATTTATTTTTTCATCTGTAAATTGCTTTATTTTAATCTTATATGTATAAAATTGTTGCTTCATCTTACACTCTATCTTTTGTCAACAGTCAACGTAACACTTTACCTGCTCAAGATCAAAACATTGGAGTGGTGTCCAACCCTGAGCTCGTACCAGAGCATGATATGGAGGACATTGAACCACTAAATGTCCATGTAGAAGAGTTGGTAACGAGGTTCAATTGAATGTTGGGCAATTTTTTGAAAATATTAATGAATGTTGGCATCATCTAGTTGATTTTGCAATCCACAACAATTTTGTTTTGAAGTTTG